GCTCCAGGAGTTTGTAGTATAACCTGTCACATTAAAGTTTCACACATGCCTGTATCTATTCCACTGGACAATTTGTCTAACCCTTTGCTAATACTGCAGTGTTGTCTAAATTACTAGTGCATTATTAAATGTTTTGATCTTACCTTATTTCCCCCCTCCAGTATTGTCCTATATCTCTGTTATATAACTCTAAGTTTTTAAAGTGTTTTAGTAGAGTTTTAAAATTTTCTTAATATTATGTACAACTTTTTTTTTTAGATTTATTTATGGGTACACCTACCTCCAACTTTGGTAGCTATTTTATTTAAGTTTTTATTTAAATTCGAGTTAGTTAACATACAGCATACTATTGCTTTCAGGAGTAGAATTTAGTGATTCATCACTTACATGTAAAACCCAGTGCTTATCCCAACAAGTGTCCTCTTTAATGCCTATCACCCACTTAGCCCATCTCCTAGTCACCTCCTCTCCAGTAATCCTATTTGTTCTCTATAGTTAAAGTCTCATGGTTCACCTCCCTCTTTTTTTCCCCTTCTGTGTTTGTTCTGTTTCTTAAATTCCACATAGGAGTGATATTTCTTGAGTATTTGTTCTTCTCTGACTGACTTCTTTCACTTTTAATAATACAATCTAGTTCTATCCACATTGTTGAAAATGGCAAGATGTCATTCTGTTTTATCACCGACTAATATTCCATTGGGTATATATACCACCTCTTAATCCATTCATCAGTCGATGGACATTTGGGCTCTTCATATAGTTTGGCTATTGTTGATAGTACTGCTATAAACATTGGAGTGCATATGCCCTCTTGAATCAGCATTTTTGTATCCTTTGGATAAATACCTAGTAGTGCAATTGCTGGGTTGTAGGGTAGTTTTATTTTTAACTTTTTGAGGAACCTCCACACTCTTTTCCAGAGTGGTTGCATGAGTTTGCATCCGCACCAGCAGTGTAAGAGGTTTCCCCTTTACCCACATTCTCGCCAACATCTTCTGTTTCCTGTGTTGTCAATTCTAGCCATTCTGACAGGTGTGAAGTGGTATCTCATCATGGTTTTCATTCTCTTTTCCCTGATGATGAGTGATGTTGAGCATTTTTTCATATGCCTGTTAGCCACCTGGATGTCTTCTTTGGAAAAATGTCTATTCAAGGCTTCAGCCCATTTCTTAACTGGATTGTTTTTTGGGTATTGAGTTTGATAAGTTCTTTATAGATTTTGGATGCTAACCCTTTATCTGATATGTCATTTGCAAATATCCCATTCCATAGGCTGTCTTTTAGTTTTGTTGACTGTTTCCTTCACTGTGCAGAAGCTTTTTATCTTGATGAAGTTCCAAGAGTTGATGATTGTTTTTTGTTTCCCTTGCCTCCAGAGATGTGTCTAGTGAGAAGTGCCATAGCCAAGATCAAAGAAGTTGCTACCTGTGTTCTCCTCTAGCATTTTGATGGTTTCAGGTCTCACATTTAAGTCTTTCATTCATTTTGAATTGATTTTTGTGTATGGTATAAGAAAGTTGTATAGTTTCATTCTTTTGCATGTCGCTGACCAGTTTTCCTAGCACCATTTGTAGAAGAGACTGTCTTTTTTCCACTGGATATTCTTTCCTGCTTAGTCGAAAATTAGTTGACCATGTAGTTGTGGATCCACTTCTAGACTTTCCAATCTGATCCACTGATCTTTGTGTCCGTTTTTATGCCAGTACCATACTGTCTTCATGATTACAGCTTTATAATATTTTATAAATTTATAATTTTTCATAATAATCTCTTATAACTAATTCTGTGGTATTGGTTGTGATCTCTGCTCTTTCATTCATGGTTTTATTTGTTTGGGTCCTTTTGCTCTCTTTTTTTTTGATAAGTCTGCCTAGGGGATTATCAATTTTGTTAATTCTTTGAAAGAACAAGCTCCTGGTTTCATTAATTTGTTTTATTGTTTTGTTTTTGTTTGTTGGTTCATTTCTATATCATTTATTTCTGCTCTAATCTTTATTATTTCCCTACTTGTGCTTGCTTTAAGCTTTATTTGCTGTTCCTTTTCTGGCTCCTTTAGGTGTAAAGTTAGGTCATGTATTTGAGACTTTCCTTCCTTCTTTAGGAAGGCCTGGATTGCTATATATTTCCCTCTTAGGACCACCTTTGCTGCATCCCAAAGGTTTTGGACTGTTATGTTTCCATTTTCATTGGCTTCCATGTATTATTTTTTATTTCTTCTTTAATTTCCTGGCAAACTCATTCATTCTTTATTAGGATGTTCTTTAACCTACATGTATTTATAGTCTTTTCAAATTTTTTCTTGTGATTAACTCCAAGTTTCATAGCATTGCAGGCAGAAAAAATGTATAGTATGATATCAGTCTTCTTGTATTTGCTTAGGCCTGATTTGTGACCCAGTATGTGATCTGTTTTGGAGACTGTTCCATGTGTACTCAAAAAAGTGTATATTCTGCTTTAGGATGAAATGTTCTGAAGATCTCTGTTAAATCCCTCTGGTCCAGTGTGTTATTCAAAGCCATTGTTTCCTTGTTGAGTTTCTGCTTAGATGATCTGTCCATTGTTGTAAGTGGGGTGTTAAAGTCCCACTTACATATTTAGGGGTTTCAAGTTGGGGGCATAAATATATAAAATTGTTAGATCATCTCATTAGATAGACCCCTTTATTATGATTTAATTTCCTTCTTCATCTCTTGTTACATTCTTTGGTTTAAAATCTAGTTTGTCAGATACAGGTTTGGCTATTCCAGCTTTCTTTTTATGTCCATTAGCCTGATAAATGGTTTCCACCCCTCACTTTCAATCTGCAGATTTCTTTAGGTCTAAGATAAATCTCTTGTAGCCAACATGTAGATGGGTCTTGTTTTGGTAATCCATTCTGACACCCTATGTCTTTTGGTTAGAGCATTTAGTTCATTTACATTCAGAGTAATTATTGATAGATATGAATTTAGTACTACCATTTTATTACTTGTTTTGTCATTGTTTCTGTCTTTGTGGCTTTTGGTCTTCTTTTCCCACTCAAAAAGTCCCCTTTAATTATTGCAGGGCTGTTTTAGGAGTGGTCATGAAGTTCTTTAGTTTCTTTGTCTTTCTGGGAAACTCTTTTTTTTTAATGTTTTATTTATTTTTGAGAGGGAGTGTGAGCGGAGAGGAACAGAGAGAGAGGGAGACACAGAATCTGAGGCAGGCCCCAGTCTCCAAGCTGTCAACACAGAGCCTGATGTGGGGCTTGAACTCACGAACCAAAAGATCATGACCTGAGCCAAAGTTGGGTAGCTTAACTGATTGAGCCACCCAGGCACCCCTCTGGGAAACTCTTTATCTCTCCTTCTGTTCTGAATGACAGCCTTGCTGGATAGGGTATTCTTGGCTGCATATTTTTCCCATTCAGCATGTTGAATAAATATATTCTGCCACCCCTTCAGGCTTGCCAAGTTTCTGTGAAGAGATTTGCTGTGAACCTTGTCTTTCCTTGTAAGTTACAGTTTTCATTTCCCTTGTTGCTTTCAGGATTCTTACCATATCTCTGTATTTTGCAAATTTTACTACAGCATGTCTCAGTGTTGGCCTGCTTTTATTGATTTTGATGGGAGGTCTGTCTCTGTGCTTCCTGGATGTGGATGTATGTCTCCTTCCCCAGATTAGGAAAGTTTTCATCTGTAATTTGCTCAAATAAACCTTCTGCCTCCTTTTCCCTCTCTTCTTCTGGGACTCCTATGAGATGAATGTTACTGTGTTTTATGGTGTTACTGAGTTTCCTATGTCTACATTTGTAATCCAGTATTTTTCTTTCCCTCCTTCCCTATCTCTGTTCCCTCTCTCCCTGATCAGGGCCCCCCCCCTGTCCACAGAACCAGGTTCTTTCTCTCCCAAATCACATCTCTCCATCTCCTCCCCTCCATGATGTGGCCTCTTTTCTCCCTCTAGACGTGCAGTTTGTGTTCTCAGTCCTCAGGTCAATTTCCTGGCTGTTCAGATTGATTTAGTATTTATCTAGTTGAGTTTAAGGAATGAGGCAAGCATGGGGTCCTTCCTGTTCTACCATCTTAACTCCTCTTGGTAGCTATTTTAAAAGCTCTGTTAAAATAAAAATTCCAAATCTTAGGCTGGGGCAGTGTTATAATTAATTTTTGTCTGTTAGATTGTGTTTAATATTCAGCTACTTTTAAATTTCTATTAATAATTTTGTCTTTTGGATTTTCTATATAGACATTAATATATAAATTATAACTACTTTGTTCATTTTTAATCATTAGAGCTTTTATTTTTTTTCTATCTTACTATGCTCTGTAGAACAGTTTTGAATAATAAATAGCGATGATAATGTCACATCCCTATCATTTTTTCTCATTCTAAAGGAAATACTTCTGTTGTTTCACCATTAATTACTTTTGCTATTGTTTTTGATGCATATCCTTTTTCTATTTAAAGAAATTCTCTTTTATCCCAGGTTTTCAAGAAATTGCTTTGCTTTAAATGAAAATGTGTTGAATTTTATGAAATTCTTTTCCATCAATTTTAGATTATTGCATGGGCATTTTAATACAGTGTTTGGCATTTATTTGCTATATTTACTACCTTTGCATTCCTCTTATGAAAACCCACTTTAGTCATAGTGTATGATCTTATATAAAATACTTCTGGCTTCAGTTGCTTTTTTTTTAATTTTTTATTAAGAATCTTTATACCTTTGTTAATGAATGAGATTGAACTGTAATTTTGTTTTCTCCTACTGACCTTGTCAGGCTTTGGAATTAAAGTCCTACTTTACTGTTGCATAGGGGTTCTTTTTGTTTATAAGACTGCTAGAACATTTCTGAGAATTTGGTTCTTCCCTTCCCCCTGCCCCCTTCTTTTTCAATCTCATCTAGTATGTGTCCAAGCAGGAAGTAGGGTGTGTCAAGGTTAGAATTACTCTTTTCCTTTAATATATATATTTATAAATAAAGTTCACATTTTACTTCTAAATTCTATGTTCATTTCATTCTCTGTTTTTATAGCACTGTACTGGTATAACTATGAAGTTTTAAAGAAGTGGCTGTGTGAGAAATCTGGTTTATATAAACCAACATTTATGATCCACTTTACTTCAGGGGCATTGTCTGGTTCTGTAAGTTTATATTATTTTGTTGTTAATTTTCCAGAATAACGGTAGTTGTCTTATTATAACAAATTATATAGCATTTCCTATCTGTTGAGATACCACTTTTGGGCCGCACGGCTTAAAGTATTGACTATCCCCTTTTGAGGAAATAAATTATTAGTCATTAAATGTCTTAAAATGTACTTTGTGTCCATGGTTTTATCATATTACAAATACATTTTTCTGAAAAAAATTTGGATTTCTTAGATCATTACAGTTATAATAGTGCTTTATTATTTACCAGATATTTGCCCATTTGTTCATTGAATTAAATGCCAGTAGATCTGGTTAGGTAATTTTTCATGGAGTGTCATTTCGTATGTATAATCCGATTGAATAGAAGCAATTTCATCCTCTGCGCTAATTCCTATTTCTTTGGGAACATTTTGGTAAGCATTCCTTAAAGGAATTTTAACAGAAATGACAATCAGAAGGAAAGAATCTCTGATGACCTTTTTTAGGTAGTAGAGAGTTCACTTTTTCTAACTCCTCCACATAAGGTAAAGTGGTGTAGTGGTCTTACACAAAATGAATTTGTAATGACCTAGAATGAGATGCTGACCTATTGGAACCAAATGAAAACAAGACTGAAGGAGCATAGTGAAGGGATGGAGACCTGCAGAAAAATACTGGAATAATTGTACCAGAAAACTTGGAGCTAAGGAAGCCACTGTGATTGAGCTCAAAACTTAGATTTGAGCGTTTCCAGGTCTGGGCTCTGTCAGATTTAACTCTGTAAGTTATACGCCCATTGACTTTTTGAGTAATTTAAGTAGTTAAAAACCAGCAAGGTATTTTCATTATTCTTCTTATTTGTGAGGTGATTAAATGTAACTTAATTGTATTTTCATTATATCTTAATCCAGCATGAATGAAGAAACACAAGTACTATTATATATTGAAATTTATAACAGATGAATCACAAAATCAACTTTGTACATAAAACTAAATGCTTAATATCTTTTTTTAAAAAGTTGGATCATGGCTCCAGGATTTTATACCAGCTTTCCAAAAATATGAAGGAAAATTCCCTACTTTTAGATGCCCTATAATGCTGCCCTTTGACTGTTTTCAAATAAAAATTTGTTTCTGTAACAGAAAAAGTACATGAGTGTTATGTTCAGACTTTCTGTCAGGAAACAGAACAGCCTAAGCCACATCATTTTAGAAAGTGTCAAAGGCTTATATAACATTGTTGCTACCTTTGGCTGCTACATGCTAGATTATAGAGAGGGAGAAATAATAATTGATTTTCACTTACCTGAGACCTTTGAAACTGATGTTAGTTCAGAAACTTAAAACAACATCGTTAGGGTGAAATACAATGTAATTGATTTTGGGGAACATTTTGGGAGCCTATTGTCAAATGTGAATTGGGAAGAAAAACATTTTTACTTTGCATGGCTATTACGTCAAATATTATGACACATTCTTAAGGGAATTTACTCTTAAAAAAAACCTTAATTAGGTCATTTTGAAAATAATCATTGATTCACTTTTAGATGTTTTTAAAAGTGTGATTTGTGAACTGCTGTAGCTATATTTGATAAAGATGTTGAAACCCATAAAGTGTTGTTCATGTAAATTTTTTTTAATCAATTTAAAAATATTGGAATTTTTAAATGCTTACTAAATAATTGAGAATTTCGGTTTTATTTTTTTATTTTTTTTTTTTTATTTTTAACGTTTATTTATTTTTGAGACAGAGAGAGACAGAGCATGAACGGGGGAGGGGTAGAGAGAGAGGGAGACACAGAATTGGAAGCAGGCTCCAGGCTCTGAGCCATCAGCCCAGAGCCCGACGCCAGGCTCGAACTCACAGACCGCGAGATCGTGACCTGAGTCGAAGTGGGACGCTTAAACAACTGAGCCACCCAGGCGCCCCGAGAATTTGTTTTAAAATATTATATTGGGATTCTCTCTCTCTCTACACCTTCATGTGTAGTAAAGGAATAGTAGGACCTACAGGAGCATCGGAAATTTGTGAATACTGGTTTTGGAGTCAGTGGTCTGTCTGGTTCTAATTCTGACTCTATCACTAGTAGTTGTGTGACCTCAGGAAAGTAGCAGAGCTTTTTTGAGACTATTTACTTCTGAATTTGGGGAGAAATATATAGGACACGTTATTTTTTCTTTAATAACAACTTCTCTTTGAATAGATAATGTTTCATTTTAAGTTTCAGTTTAGTTATGATTTCCATTATTATCCTGAAGTAATTTCCTATTTAGAATAATGTAAAAACATTTAGAAAAAAATTAAAGGTAAATTTAATCAATTTTACTTTTTGACAGATTGCAGCTATTGCAACTTTGCCGTTTGATGTGGTAAAAACACAAAAGCAGACACAACTTTGGATAGATGAATGTCATAAAAGTAAGTTTTATTAATTTAAAACATTTTCAGGATGCCATGATTGTTTTTGTTGTTTTTCTTTCTAGGTAGAAGAAAAATAAGGAAACAAGATTTTTTTCCTTTGCTGCCTTAACTGAAACTATAATATACTGTTAGAATGAAATGCCCAGAAAAAATACTCTCAATCCCCTCCAAAATTTAAGAAATTTAAAAATCTCTTTTGCCTGCCATCAATTAAGTCTCATACCTGCTATGTAGAAGATTACATACTAGGTGCGCCTGGGTGGCTCAGTCGGTTGGGCGTCCGACTTCAGCTCAGGTCACGATCTCATGGTCCGTCAGAGTTCGTTCAAGCCCGCGTCGGCTCTGGTGAATGGCTCAGAGCCCTGGAGCCTGTTTCTGATTCTGTGTCTCCCTCTCTCTCTGCTCCTCCCCCGTTCATGCTCTGTTTCTCTCTGTCTCAAAAGTAAAAATAAACGTTAAAAAAAAAATTAAAAAAAAAAAAGATTGCATACTATATAACTTTTTTTTTTTTTTTAAGAGTTTGAAAGAGAGAGGAAGAATGGGAGCAGGGAAGGGGCAGAGAGAGAGGGAGAGAGGATCCCAAGCAGGCTCCACACTAGCAGAGCCTGAGACAGGACTTGCTCTCACAGACTGTGTGGGGGCTCCATCTCATGAACCATAAGATCATGGCCAGAACTGAAATCAAGAGTCAGACTCTTAACCAGCTGAGCCACCCAGGCGCCCCTATAATTATCCTTTCAAATAAATCTAGACAAATTAGGGTGAAGGGTAGGAAATTACTAGGAACCCATCGTCTCTTGTTTGTTTCATTAGTATACATATTTTTTTTTTTCTGTTTATTTTTTAGCTTCTTTGGATAGGTTTTTTCTTCATATTATCCAATTTTTCCTTCTTTATATAACCTGTAATTTCTTCTAGAACAAAAGTGTACTCTTAGTTGCTTCCACCAGATCTGTCATTATTATTATCTATGGAAAATGTGGCAAACCCACTGGAAATTACCCATTACAAAATTATGTCATGTAAACCTTCTGACTGATAAGTCTCTTAGAATAATGTAAATAGTTTTGACCCACCAGAAGATTTTGCATACAAAGTAAAATAGGTATTATAATATGTTGAAAAAAACATTGCTTACCGAACCCTGAAACTGAATCCGATGACAACTTTGTCCTTGACTTTCCATAGTCCTAGTTCCCACTAATAATAGGAGCTAACTAAAACCTGAGAAGTAATCAAAGTTGATTATCAGGGTTCTTCCAGTTCCTTGTTTTAGGTGGGAGCCTTTTAGCTGCCTATGCCCTATCTGTTCTCCCTTGGTAGTTTGAAATTAACTGTTTCATTCTTCTTTCCAACTAATCATAATTCCTGTTTCCTCTATTGCATTAAGTATTTACTATAGTGGGAATATTTCTTTATTGTGATTCATGACTATGGCCATGAGGGCACAGACATGGTGACAGGGAGAAGATGGGAATCTCTACAGGTAAATTCTGAGGCTAAGGTTTGAGAGTCACTTCTCTGGGTAAATACTCTTTGGAGTCAGCTGGGGTGCTCTTTTACTACATCTGAAGCTGGCCACCACCCCCAGTGGACTCTCATTTAATAGTTCTAATCTGGGGCCTTAGCTTGTGTATTTTGAAAATGTTCCCTAGATGATAATGATTATACATCCTCGTTGAGACTGGCATCAGGGAGGCATCTTCTTTCACTAGATTCAGCTCTTACCGATGATAGCTGTTTTTTTCCTTATGTTTCTCCAGTAAACCCCAAAGGAGAAATCTAGAATAAGCCTTGGGTCTTAATTTTAGATGATTATTTTTGGTCACTTTTACCTGTTCCTCTGCTTCAGCTATGAACCAGTTATATTTACTTCTACTGAAAACTACACTTCTGATTTGAGTGATAAATAGCCCATATTTTTTTCATTTTTATATATTATTTATCCCTACCAAATGTTCCATTTGTAGTGGCTCCTCCACTCTGGTATGTACAGACAAATGAGGCAGTGTCCAACAGCTCATAATCTAATGGAAAAGAAGCATTTTAGGATGTAGTCCTATCATTTATGTAGTCCTGAGTCCATCATTTATATTTAATTAAAAATTTTAATCTCAGGTTTCAGGTACCTGGGTGGGGTTAAGCACCTGACTCTTGATTTCAGCTCAGGTCATGATCTCAAGGTTCATGAGTTCAAGCCCCACATCAGGCTTTGTGCTGCAGTACGGAGCCTGCTTGGGATTCTCTCTCTCTCCTTCTCTGCCCCTCCTCCACGCTTGCTCACTTGTTCTCTCAATAAATAAATAAACTTAAAAAAATGTAATCTCAGGTTTCCACTTCATAAACCTGGCTCACATCCCCATTGGGTTGTTGGGGAGGATACGGAGCAATGGTAATGCGAATGCTGGGCAGGTGAGAGTATGAGTTTGGAAAATAATCTGGCAATGCCAAGAAGGCTCTCTGAACAAGAAGTTCCACCTAAGATATGTGCCCTAGAGAAATGTCTGCACATGTACAGGGATACTTACTGAAAGAATTATAATCCCCAAAAGTTAGAAAGCACTGAAATAGCCTCTAGCAAAGAAATGGGTAAATTGTGATCATTCATATAATGCAATACCATACAGCAATGAAAATGAATAAAATATAGCTATGCTTGTCAACATAGATAATCCTAAAAGCACATTACAAATGTACAATGTCATATAGCATTTATATAAAGTTTAAGAGCATAAAAAGCAAGAGTATGTATTATTTATGGATATGTTCATATGTAGTAAAGGTTTAAACACATGCATGAGAAAGATAAAGGAAAAAGGAGAGAGAGTGGTTACATCTAAGGAGAGCAATAGTATTGAGAAGGAATATATTGAGGACTTCAATTGTAGCTAAAAGATACAGGTGTTAGGATTTGAAAAATGTGGATGGTCAGTAAATGAGTATTTTATTGTTGTCTATGCTTGAAATACATAGTAACCAACGGTGTTTCCTTACAATATTCCTATAGGAATAGCTCTTCAGTGTTGGAACTTAGGCAGGAGATATTGTGGAGATCACTTTGGAGCTCTACTGAGACTTAATCTTCAGTTAATAACTCTTTCTGTCTGTTCTCTTCTGCATTTATTGCACCTTAGTCTTTAAACAGGGACTGGTATGGGGCTTGAATTCTACAAGATCAGAAAATACCTGGCTATTCGGTTTCCTTTCTTACACCAGTTGTTTCCAAAATTTAAATGGAATAATTCAAATATGCAGAAGTTGCCGACTCATAGTATAAAGTTTTTGTCATTGACTTTCTTTAGAAAGTTAATTTCATTCATAAATACTTTGTTCTTGGTTCAAAAAATGTCCTTTTATTGGGTTGCTATAATTATTATAGTTATACTATTTATATTGATCATATAGCTTCTTAAATAACAAGGCCTCATTTATCTTCATAGAGAATCTGATATTTATATACATGAGATTTGAGATAATGAGCCCCCCATTCCATTAAGTGGCAAAATTCTAAAAAGCCATTTCTGAAAGCTCTCTTTCTCCACCCTTTCCCTTTTTCCCCTGGCTATGCTTAATACTATATACTTTAATCTTTCTTAATGACTCACTTGTCCATGTTCACATTGATGATTGTGGAGTCTAATAGCAGCTCCCAGCAGCTAATGAGGATAATAGAGGAGTGTTTGCCCCTCATCCAACTGGTGTCAAACCAAGACCTTGACAACTTCCGTGTGCAGCTATCACAGTGTTTGCATAGTAGTGTGTCTGCTTCATAGCGCCTCTTGTTTTACTTACTGTGTCTAGTAGTCTTTGGGTTAAGCCAGCTGCTTAGAATCGTTGTGTAAAATAAAGGTAAGTAAACTTTGCGCATGAATAGCTCATTTATAGCTTTATGTTTGACTCAGTGACAAATTATACACTATAATTATACACTATATTATACACTATACACCTTTAACCTTCAACATTTTTCTATTTTTTCTTTTTAATGAATCCGACTATTAAATATAAGACTTTGGGTAAGTTTTGGGTAGATAGATCTTTTCTTAGTATAATGAAATTATACACCCCACATTCCCAAAGACCATAAATACTTGATGTATGTCTTATGTGTTAGAAATAATTAAGTGGTAATTTATAACGTATCATTTCTTTAACATTTAGTTTCTATGCCTTTGCATATGTCAACGTGGACTATCATGAAGAACATTGTTGCTAAGAATGGGTTTGCAGGATTATTTACAGGTAAAAATACTTATTTTACCAAATTGTTGAATAAAATGATTATTTTTCAGTCTGTCCTTTTCCTAAATTAGCAGGAAATTATTGAAAATATTACACATTTATGACTTCTCCCTAAACATCTTTAAGTTAAAAAAAATCTGAATCGGGGCGCCTGGGTGGCTCAGTCGGTTAAGTGGCCGACTTCGGCTCAGGTCACGATCTCACACTCCGTGAGTTCGAGCCCCGCGTCGGGCTCTGTGCTGACTGCTCAGAGCCTGGAGCCTGTTTCCGATTCTGTGTCTCCCTCTCTCTCTGACCCTCCCCCGTTCATGCTCTGTCTCTGTCTCAAAAAATAAATAAACGTAAAAAAAAAAAAAAATTTAAAAAAAAAAAAAAAAAAAAAAAAAAAAAAAAAAAAAAAAAAATCTGAATCGATTTAATAAGATGAAACTTCTGTATAAAGTAAAGCGGAATTAAAGTGAGGAGCTTGGGAGTAATTTGGCTTGTTCTTTGATACCAGTTGATGGCACAGTGTTTGATACATCATTTCATTTGATCATTATCAGAATGAAATCAAATAAATACATTTTTTAAACATAAGGTAAAATTTGTTCTGATTTTTTTCTATTCTCTTTTCAGGCCTCATTCCCCGTTTAATTAAAATTGCTCCTGCTTGTGCCATTATGATCAGTACCTATGAATCTGGGAAGGCTTTTTTCCAGATGCAAAATGCCAGAAGACAACAATACCAGTGACGCTGTTTCAACTTGAAGTAACAACCAAAGCCAAATAATAAGTTGGAGATTCTTAGGCAAGAACTCTCACCATTATCTCAAAATGATTTATTTTCTGTTTTATAACTTAAATGAGTAGTAGTTTCTGCTTTGCCTCTAAATCATAATCCTAAGTTAAAAATAAATTCTGTTACCCTAATTTTTGAGATACTGAAAAAGATATTCCAGAAATCACATCCATTAAATGTCCCTGTAAAGAAAAGAAAAATTATTCCTAAGTACTGAAAGCAATAATCTGAGAGTTTGATAATTGAGAATGTGTAGGATGTATCAGAACATTTTGAATTGTGTTCTTAATGATGTGGAGAGTCTAGAAGAAAAATGCCCAAGTCTTTTATACATACCTAAATCATGCATGTAGATATTTAAGTATTTCAGCAAAGTATATAATAGATGGCAGTCTTTAAGTAACATTATTTGCATTTAGCAAATAATACCTATTACTTTCTTTAATTCAAATGCATTAGATTTTTTTTTTTTTTTTTTACTTCCTGTTGCTGTTTTAAGGCTTCACCAGTGTTAGGATTTCTTCACTCAAAGGTATGGCTGTTTTATCTTTATGAATCAAAATATAACTGTTTATGTGATATAGGTGATATTTTTGATGATTAAAGACTATTACTCACTGTTTCTGCAAAAGAGGAGTCGTCTTTCTGATGGTGTTAAATGTTTGGCACAGTAGCTCTTGGCTGAGCAGAAAACCACATTACATTTACATTAGTAAAATTTATGTTTCAGCCTAGGAAGGGCCTCTGGTTTCAGCCATCTTGTAATTCAGATATCACTGTTTGTGGAGTTCTGTAGGTCACTTGTACTGGCTTCTTCTAACACAATAGAGATTACTAATATAGTATAAGACACAAAATATTTCCAAAATGTCCCTCAATTTTACACATCTTCATGTTAGTATGCTAGATCAAGAGACTAAAGAGGCAGCAGTTTCCTTAAGAAATAGTTTTCAGTCACTGTAGGCTAATGCCTCAGTAATGTTGCTTATGACTGCAGGAATGAGACAGGGAAGGGTTATGAAGGAAGACAGGACAAAAGTGATACCCTTTTTTTGTTTTTGTTTCATTTTCCCAGGATCTGTATCCTATAAGAAAAAGCACTTTATTGCAGTCTACATGTATGCTAGGAAATGTGAAGTATTTTTTGTTCTAAAATAGAGTAATATGTTCAGGTGACAGACCTCTAGTGTTTGTAGAGGAACTAATGTACTTTGTATTATAGAAAAGAGTTTATCTATTTCACCAGAACAGATCGTGTGTGTATGTAGTCTTTTGTGTTTGCTTTACCCTCTATTGATTTACCTTAAAATTGCAATATCTATAAAATCATAAATATTTATGACTTTGACATTTTCATTAAAATATTTTGATTTCTTAAAAGTATGACTGCTTCAAGCTAAATATTTTCATACAAAATCATTATTTTAATGCTATACTTTATATAAGAAAGTTTTATCTTGAACACTGATGTTTAACAGTATTAAATCTATTTTATTTTATTTTTTTAACAGTATTAAATTTACCTTGGTTCTGTTATGCTTCTTTTTGGTAACTGATCAGTAGAAAACAAAAATTTTAATTTGTAACTTTTAAGAAGCAGTCTGATATTTCACCTTAATAGTAATACCAACAGGGATACTGCCACCATCCCCAGTACTGTATGACTGCATATATGGAAAATTCTTTTCAGGATTAAAATAAATAAATCTAATTCCTTAGAAGCTTTTTTAATACATACTACATGCAGCGTATCTGGATGAAAAGAAGAGTGAAATGAAGCTTTTTCTGTACTTAGGTGGTAGAGGTAGAGAAGCATTAATGTTTTATTTAAATAGCAGCTAAAAAGTGCTTGGCTAGAAATTATATTCTATGTAATGTTTCTGAAAGCAGTTTCCTTCTATTTATGTTAAGTTTTCTAACACATACATTTGATTTATGTGTAAGTTTTTTAATCCATGTATTACATACTTGCTACCTTCCATACAATACACATTTGACTTTTTAAAAAAGCAGAGATGAAATTAAAATAAATTTTTCTTTTATTTCTAAGAAAACTATTCACTATACATATTTAACCACATGACTTTTTTATGCATTTTTTGATATTTTTTATTTTTTTCAATATATGAAATTTATTGTCAAATTGGTTTCCATACAACACCCAGTGCTCATCCCAAAAGGTGCCCTCCTCAGTACCCATCACCCACCCTCCCCTCCCTCCCACCCCCCATCAACCCTCAGTTTGTTCTCAGTTTTTAAGAGTCTCTTATGCTTTGGCTCTCTCCTCTAACCTCTTTTTTTTCCTTCCCCTCCCCCATGGGTTTCTGTTAAGTTTCTCAGGATCCACATAAGAGTGAAAACATATGGTATCACATATGACTTTTTAAAATTCTTCCCTCTTTCTGGAGTACGAGTTCCAAGGATGTAGGAAAGTTTTGAATTTTTTGAATCAGTTTTGAATTCTTTCTCCAAAATGAACTTTTTAAATAAATTTTAACATTCAACATTTACTTAGATCTTTTATGTGGTAGGCAGTATAAAGAGCACTTGAGATAAGAAAATACTTCAGATACTGTCACCGGCTACAAGGAGACGGCAGAGCTGTTTGACAGGTTTGCAAAGGAAGACATGGAACAGCTGAGGGATTGTCCACTCAGCCTGGGAGCAGAGAGGCAGGGTGTCAGGGACATACTTCTATGATTAGGACAGGTGATCCAGTTAAACATACCTGGAAGTGGGAGGCATTGAGCCCCAAATGTGGAAAAACAAGAAGACAACGGGAAACCAAAGAAGCATGTTTTGGCATAGCTCTAGTAATTATGGAGTTGAGTTGGTTGGTTGGTTTTCCAAGACCAGCTTTTTTTTTTAACTGAAAAGAAAATAGGGTAGCATAGTTTAGCACAACACAGCACAGCAAACACTAGAATGTGTCACATGTAGTAAGGCTGTCTTATGTAGTGAAACTTTGGTTTTATTTGGGTTTTAGAGAAATAATGGGGACTTATAATAAGAACTAGTTTGGACTAAAATACACTTTTGAAAGAGACCATAAGGTCATTGATACAATTTTATATCCCCTCATCAGTTAAAAAGAACAAAATCTAAAGTGAAATAGGGGCTGCTGTGCTTACAGAAGATTAAAAGATATTTAAGAGCCCTGATGTTCAAAGGAGTCCTGTGACATTTCAGAGGTGATTCAGTGTATTTATCAAAACTGGAGATTTGACTAGGAACTTCTTTTACAGAGAATTTCCTTAAGTTGTAAATTTGAGACACATTTTTAACCAATTGAAAACAATTATGTAAATCTAATAAAGATGACTTAAATAAAAATTTAGTGTACATAATATCTTTTAATGCTGACATCCTCTTGATGCTATCATAGGTTCTGAGAAGATGGTGATGTTTTCATTTTATAGGTGAGAAAACAAATATGGCTGATGTATAATTATATTAGCAACTGCCCAAATCACTATGGTATTGTACCACTTCAATAGATATTGTGTATTCTGAACCATATCATGTCATTTTTTTTAATAAAAGGTACTTAATTTTATATGAGTTAAAATAAAGATTTCTCTAAAACTTTTGTCCTATTAGTATTTTAGGTGTTGAATAATATACATTTACCATATTTGCTAAAACACAAGGCTCAGTGTACAACTTGAATCAAGTAACTTCAAGGAAAAAATATAACCACTAATGCATAGTACAAAACGTTTAATATACATGCAACAAGTATAGTACATCAAGGCAACAAAATACACATGGAAATATCAGCATACAATTCAGCATTCTATTTTGGATAGGGTGTGTAAACAATAAACACTACCACCTAAAATTAAAGATTGAGACATACATTGTTTCCTCATGCAGACATTACGTATATAACAAGTGTGAAATGAACTGTACAGAAACCTGAATTCACATCAGCAGATGAATTTTGTACCAAGAGCTCCAAGAAAGGAGGAAAAGTCATGATCCTCAGATGTCATGTTTAAATCTGCATTTAGCAGCATGTGAAGATGCACAGGTTACTGAATGCATTAGACAAATCTGGAAAATTATCAATTATGGAATCTTGAATTTCCTTTCTGTATTATAAAAATGTATGGATAAAATTTAACAATGATTGTTTTAAATCACTGAGGAATAATAAATGTCAGTTCAGAGTGGACTGTGAATGATAAAACATTTTACACATTCTGATCGTTTTTTAGGAAAGCAGCAATAGTGCTTAAGAAGCCAGCTTCAAATTTTTCAAGTTCCCCAACTTAGCCATTTCTTACTCTCTTCTCCCAGTGTTGCCACTGTCCTCATTTTATATCTTCCTTCCAGCCCCATGCTCATTAAAAATTGCTTTGGATACCTCACTCATAATAAGGTATACATAATTAAGAGCAGGTAAAAGGTACCAATTTTCAAGAATATTTGCATTTTTACAAGTACTAAAGCCTTAAGCTAAAGGAATAAAGCTCTGAATATGTTCTGGTACATCTAGGATAACTTATTTTAACAGCTTCCAGGCCTCCTCTGTCCCTGAAATAACATTGCTTAAAGTGTCTTACATAGAAGACTAGCCTTCTTATTATTTATCCTAAATTCCAAATTATGAGAATAAAGCTCTAAGTATTGCAGAGAACCACCACACTCCTACACATTTCTAATGCAAAGAACGATGTAGTAAGTTCAGCGCTCTTCTTGCCTCCTCTGAATAAAAGAAATCGCTGTAGGAGGAACATTCTTCCTGTTATGTCCAAGCTCCTAAGTTTGAATGTAATGTTTTCTTAATAAACAAAAATAGCATACAAAGTCCCCATTAAGTATTGTGTCCTCTTCATGTAAACAATATAGAAAACTTCTTTGGCACAACTGATCGTGTTTTCCTCATATTACTTACTATAGAAAATATACTTCGTACATTTTTTTTTCTTTCGGTATGGTGGGATTTTTATGGATGAAATATATAGTTGCAAAAACTGCAAAAAGTTTATAGCACATAACTTTTCAAAAAAGAAAACTAACTTTAGTAGAAGTGTAGGGATTTTTAACATTAACATGTCATGGTTCATTGTTGCACACAAGGGACAACAAAACAACCCTATTATGTCAGATTATTTAGTGTGGTGATTACTAATCCTTACTTTAAAGATCTCAAATCCTTAAATCAACCTGGAGTTTTTTTCAAGAAGTATTGTACATTTTTAAATGTTTTCTAACTATTGAGGAATACTTGATATTTTTATGTAACCTCTTAAGAAAATCTTGGGGAAAATAAAGATAAGAAGTTTATCCACTTTACCGAAACGCTGTAAAATACTTCCCACATGACCCTCATAAATTTAGTGATGGCCTAAAGGCACATTCCTACAAAATTTATAAAATGTTAATGGAATTTTGATACCAAAACTGAATAAGCCACTATGAAACCAGCTGAGAATTTCCTCCTCATATTAAAAACAAGGCATTTAAACATCAGAATATAGGAAGAAATTAATGAAAAAATGAAATTAACATGTCATTTTTAGAAAATCATTGAATAAGAGAGTAAAAGAAAAAACTTACATGTCTCTAGAATAAAACCTTCAACTCAGCCTGGCAATGATGATGCATTTAAATACATGAAAATCAGCTAAATAATAAATATACATCACCGTTTACAATGGGTTATTAATTTAAAGGATATTTGAAAGTTTTTTAAGCCTATTCATATTTAAACTTCCTCAGTGACAAATGTAAGAATCTTAAAATGAAAATGGCAGGATCATTTTTTTTCACTCAGAAGGGCACATGGAATAGACTGAATTCTCTAAAAGAAGCAATAGGATTTCATACATGTGCCAGAACAATATAAAATTCCAAAAGTTTTCCCCAGCAGTCAAACTTATGTAAATAGAACATTTGCAACATAAAAACTTCTGGCTTTTACATAAAATTTTTCAGGATGGAGTTAGGCCTGGACTTGTCATCTCTGTTGTGGGACTTGCAAGGTAGTCATTAGATTTGAGACTTGTTAGTGATTTGTAACTTGCCACTGATGTTAGAGACCCACAGAGACCGAGTAATGAGGGAGTATCTTCTTTACCTGAAAGTTAAAATTACAAATATTTAATTGCCATTGAAGAATGGTACCAAAAGATCTTACAAAGCTTAAAACTTACATACTTCACAAAATAATGCAAACATAGGTATCTAGTTATGTATTTCTATAGTTTCAGTGTCACCCTTAAAAAAACATTACCAGAGAATTATTTGTGCTCCTCATAAAAGTTCTAGAAATGGAAGTCTGAGATGCCTTGTTTTGAGATGAAAATCAAAAGTTTACCTTTTTTCCAGAATATGTTCATGTTCAGTCGGTAAAGGATAATAAACTAAAGTAACAGTATCAGTGCCCAGGCCACAGAAATACAAGGAAATCCCCATGCAGGTAAAGTACTGCTGTAGAAGCAAAACTGGTACAGTTCAGTAGGAGGGCTCAACTGGGACAGCATTAACTCACTTAGTGAATATAAACATTTTTCAGCATCTGCCTTGCATCAGGATCTTTAGTATGTGCTAGACTTCAGTAGGCGTATGAAGGAAGACTGGTAGATCTTTTGCACAGCTGGGGAATACAAGTGCTTCCCAGAGCAGAGTTTCAAGTACCAGCTAGAAGTAGCTGGTTTGAGACTGAAAGGCTAAGCTTTGAAAATCAGGTCTCCCAAGTAGATAAAAAGCTTACGTCTTACTTACACAGTTACACAAGTATAAGCCAAACCAGACAGCAGGTGTTTCTGAATACTATATACTGTTTCAAACGACCCCTGTGAAGTGTTCCCACAGGGTTCTGTACTCTAACCCACCTAGTTGTACTATATGGTACAATATGTGGGGCCTATGTACATAGTACTGTATACTATGATACATATGATAATTGTGGGGCTCTTTTTCTAAACTGTACACTGAGAAAGGACATGGAATTTGTTGTTTATTATTATAGTCCCAGTGCCTAGCACACAGGAGATGGTCATTAAATAATTATATAATTAACGAATCATGACTGGAGGAACTGTACTGGGACCCAAGAGCATTCCTAGTCCCTTTTGGCTGTATGGCCTTAGGAAAGGCATCTTCTCGGAGCCTATGTGCTTAATAAAATGAGAACAGATACTAAATATGACTAGTTATGTTAACTGCATAGTTTTGCTGACAAGTAAAATGCAGGAAAATATAAAAGCGTTAGAAAAAGTTATGAAAAAGACTGTTAAATTCAAATTTAAAATGTTTATGGCGTTATTTCACGACCAAAAGATTTAGGTGTTTCAAGCACCCTTTTCACATTTAAGCTTAGAGACCCATTTCGGGTCAACATTCTGGAGTTCCTGTTAAATGCTCCTGGGACTTAACTGCTTTGGATAGTCTCTCTAAATTTCTACTTTAACTGTACAACTCAGTGGCATTAATTTTATCTATAGTATTGCGCAACCATCACCACTATTTCCAAAATATTCATCACTCCAAACAGAAATTCTCTACCCATTTAAGCAGTAACTATCCATTCTCCCCTTACCCCCAATCTCTGGAAACTCTAATCTACTTTCTGTCAATGAATTTGCCTACCGTATGTCATTCCTACCAGTAGGATCATACAATATTTGCCCTTTTGTGTCTGGCTTTATTTCACTTACCATGTCTCCTAAGGTTCATCCATGTTGTATGTATCAGAACCCCATTCCTTTTTTATGGCTGCATAATATCCCTTTGTATGTATACACTACTTTTTGTTTACCCATTCATCTGTACAGACACTTGGGTTGTGTCTACCTTTTGATTATTGTAAAGAGTGCAGCTGCAAACACTGGCACACAAGAATCTGTTTGAGTACTGTCTGCAATTCTGTGCAAGTCTATACTTAGGTAACTTTTTTTTTTTAATACAATCATATAGTAATACAAAAGCTAAACCACCTATATGTCTAACATAGTTACACAATGAGGTACTACTATACAGCTGTAAAAGAATCAGAAAGATCTCTATGTACTGCTAGGTAGTGATTTCACTGTCAAGTGAAAAAAGCAAACTGCAGAATAGCGTATAGCATGTTACCTTGTATCTAGAAGAGGGGCATGTAAATTATTTGAACTTACTTGTATTTTAAAAAGATAATTCAAAAATAAAAATAGTTAACTATGAAAGCAGAAGTGAACAGAACTGAAATGAACTTTCAGCACAGTAACTGGACTCTAGCATATATTCTCAAGATAAAATAATTAGAAAGAAATCTTACCACATTTTAGTAATAATATAGATACTGTTATTTTGAAATTAATATATAGTAGGATAAAGCAAATAAGTAATTATGTTCATATAAATTAGGAACCAATATATTCACCATCATGTCAAAATATAAAATCAAGTGCACAGAAACCCTGAATGTTAAATTTAAATTGTAAAATAAATTTAAAGTATATTTTTCTTTAAAAAAAAATTTCCTAACTCTTCCACAGGCTAGGAACAATGACTATTCTAGTAGCAACAGGGACCCCTAAAGCTAAATTATGGCCTCTAACATTTCCCAGTATAAGGAGGTAAGTCTTCTTAAAGAAATAGCTGATTCTGGGTGTGGGCATGAAATGTAAATGTCTTTTTTTACCACAAAGTGAGGAAGCTATGATAGACTGGGGGAGTGTCGAAAGGACATAGGAGCCATCTTTAAGGGTCACTGTTCAAAAAGGACAGTGACCTGATGAGATGCATTGACAAAGATGTATCATTTATGTTGTTAATGCACATATGTTTAATCTGAATTTGATAATAATGAACATCAGACAAATTAAATCGTGGGACATTTAACAAAACAACTGACTTGGGCTCTTCAATATACAAACGTGTGTGACAGAAAAAGCCAAGTTGGTGGGTGCTCTGCTAGATGAAAGGACACCAAAGAGAATGAAAAGTAAATAATATGTGATCCTTGATCGGATTCTGGACATACCAAAAAAAATAAAGGCTTTTAAATGATATTACTGGACATGCTGAGACAAGAATATTAACAAACTATCAGGTAATAGTGTATTGATGTTAAAGTGCCTAAGGATCATAATGGTATGGCTTTGTAAGAAGACATCCTTATCCCTAAGAGATATATGCTGACATACTTACAGATGAAGTTTATGATACCTGCAATTCACTTTCAGATGGTTGAGCACAACAGAAAAGGCAGATATAGGAGTAAATGAAGGGAGTATGTGCCCACAAAAACAAGAGCAACATAATACAAGTGTGGCAAAATGGTTACATTGGTGAATCATGGTAAAGCATACAGGGGTGTTCATTCTTCTGTTCTTTCAACTTTTCTGTAGATTTGAAATTATAAAAAAAAAAAAAGTTGGAGTGGGGGAAGAAAACAAAGGTACACAAAGTCCTCAGTTGTGCCCCAACAAACAAATCATACAGCAGAGCTGAGTGGGGCATATCCAGGAGAGCACAGTGGGGGGTGGGGAGCCACCTATGAAAGCCAGCCTTTGCAGACACACGGCCAGCCTCTGAAAATACTGATGCTGGGGAACATGCAGGGCAGTCTGTTACCCTCAAGAAAGCCAAGAGACTTCACTGTAAGCCTTCATTTAAAAATAAAAGTAGAAAAAAAATGCACAAGATTCCAAAAATGGTTATGTTGTGACTGCAGCCATGCAACTATAAAAGGAAATAAAATATAAAAAGGAAATGAGCAAAAAAGGGCACCTGGATGGCTCAGTCAGTTAAGCATCTGACTCTTGATTTCGGCTCAGGTCATGATCATGGGATTCATGAGTTCAAGCCCTCCACACTGACAATGCAGAGTCTGCTTGGGATTCTCTCTCCCCTCCTCTCTCTCTGCCCCTCCCCCCACTGTGTGTGTGTGTGTGTGCGCGCGCGCGCGCGCGCGTCTGCGTCTGTGTGTGTGTGCGCACATGCATGCGCTCTAACTTTAAAAAAAGGAAATAATCAAAAGGAAGCGTTAAGATACAGAATTATAACTGATTATTCCAAAATATTCTTGAATATTGTGATGTCAACAGTAACTTATGCATACACATATACGTATAAAATTACTATATGAATTAAAAAATAAGTATGTTAAACTATGTGTTGATATTTTAACAATTTTTTGATATGGGAGGAAATAACTAGTCAAGGTTAACAAAACTTTCTAGCTCAGACAAATGGAAAAGTAGTAGTTCCTAGCAGAAACAAGTTAGTCATAAGAAGCAGCAAATAGATTTTCATTTTATAGCAAGAAAGATCCCTTTTGTTTTAAACTTACGGATAAAGAGTCTGGACTCTACAAGTCTTCAGATGGTACTGCTACAAATATTACTAAGTTAGAAGTCATTCAGCACAATGCCAGATATTGTGATAAAAATAAAAGGAACCACTTCTTGCCTGTAGGGAGCTTAATGCAAGGTAGAAACAGACACACAGAAAATAATAATAAAATGCAGGAAGTACAGTGAGAAACATAAGGTAAAGGTGAGATCACCAACCCTATAAGGAAGTCTGAGTGGGGACGGAGGGGCCAATGGGGAAATGAAGAGACAGTAAACTATATCCTAATTTTAAGGAATGCCTACACAGATTCCTTAGCCACTATCATAAACCCATAAACATAGGGAAAATGTTATGTTAACCTGTTATATAAGGAACATGTTACCTTTTTGTGATCAAAGGTCAAGAAAAGGGGTGGTCAGAATTTTGTGCGATAAAATTTCAAACTGGAACCACTGCGTGTAGTAGTTGGAGCTGGCAAAGAGGGAGTTGTGACAGTTGTTTTTGCATGCACATGGATGAACGGTGGCCACGGGTGCTCATAGCAATCTCTAACAGACTTACTTTTATGAAGGCCAAAAAAGCCTTCAAAAACTTACAATTTCCCTTTCAAATTAGTAGTTGTTTGTTCATAGAAGAGTATGAAAACAGACAGTAGGATGTAAATTTCCTATTACTGAAGCAAATCTTCATTAAAGAATTACTACAGTTCACACTTTCTGGTAAAACAACACATAGCACTTGGGACAGACCCTGCAAGTAGATGAAGCTTGGTGACCTACACAGGATTGCTTATCA